TGTACAAAGTAACTCCAATCAAATTTACTCAAAGTACCCGAGTGTGAGAAAATAGTATTTTCACGGAGAATGTACGTTATATAAAATCACCAACTTTTCAATAAAGTCTTTTACAATTTCAGCAACATTTACATTTCCTCTGTGGAACCACTTGTGCAAGTGTTACATTTTGCCTTTACCTTTCCTGCATCCTTTACTCCAATTCCTTCTTCCCTTTTAAACTTTTTACCTTTTTCGATCAGCCTTTTACAAATCTTTTACAGCGTTTCTTTAAGTTTATGCACTTTAAAATACCCAGTCAAAGTCTTTTTCATTACAAGCACATTTACCAATTCGTTATTACAAGTACTTTAAATTTAATTCTAAACATTGAATACTTTAGCACATGTCCTAGGATCAATCTGATCGATCCTGTGAGTCACCAAAGTCAGAATTGGAAGATCAGCGGTTGTTTTCCGATTTTCAAGGGAAACAATCATATATGGCATAATTTACTGTTGTTAATTGTAGCTTCTAATTGAACTCATCAGGAAAAATTCCATTGCCGTAGAGAGGTCGTTCGGCGAGGGCATCCGCCAGCCAGTGGCTGGAGTCGGTGGTGGTGTGCAGCGGTGCAGATCCGCTGCAAGGCACCATTCAATAATATTGCAAAATTAAGGGGGAAAACTAACATTTTAATACTTTCTAGATAAGAATGGCATGACAAGTTCATTCCAGGCATCAATATTATGAACTATGTAACTTCTACATTTTAATACTTTCTAGATAAGAAAGACCATGATGTCAAAAAGAAACATTAAATTTAGAAAGTGTCATACTAAGTTAATGTCATGTTATTGTCATATGATCAAGGTAATTTCATTTTGATATTAAGTTCATAATTAATTAAGACTTACGTATGTAGACTCAACACGATGATCAACCCATGCTCCACTTTTCCTCTTATGGGTCTTCAAAAATAACTCATCAGGGCGTACATCCCTTTGAAGTTCTTGGGTCTACAAAAATAAATTAAAGTAAATTTGATAGTGTAAATAATTAAAGATTGAAATAAAAATCGACTTTATTACTTACAAGCTCAAGCGCTACATCAACATGAGCCTTACGACCTGAGGTGTGGACTGCTCCTCCTCTTGCTGAACTTCGATTGGCCTTGTTTTGAGAGGACAATTTCAAGAACGAATCACTCTTCCAATAAGTTTCAAGCTCATTCTAGGCATCCTCACCAATCCATGAAGGACGGGTCCCTTTTAACCTCACCTTCCTCATTATGTCATTTAGTCGAATGGCTGCCTTTGAATAAAAGGCTTTCCTGACAAACATCTCATATTGAGGATCCCATGAAACCTTGTCCTGAAAATGACTAAAATAGTATAAACATCCTAGGCATTATAATGTCAGTTCTGTTAGGTTTGTCAACATCTATCCATAAGGAAACATGTGTTTTTGTCCTTAATGCTGAGGCTTTTAGACAAAATTCAATAAATACTTACCGCAAAAAGAGCAAACCATTTTTCTTTGACATCATCGGAAACTACTGTCCAATTATAGAAACCCCTATAAAATTGTTTGTGTATCGCATAATTAATGCCATTTGCTACTTCTTTGGCCGGAACAAGCCTACAATATTGAATGAAACCAATGATGTCATATGATATAATGTTGAAACCAATGATAATGTTGAAGCCTGTTACAATATTGAATAAATATTTTAAACTTACTCGCTACCACAAGTTTGTATAATAACCTTCCCATTATCATCCCTTATTATCAAATGAGGAGGAACATTACCTTCACCCACGACCACCTCATCCGCGACCTCATCCTCAATTTCCTCTTTATTTTCCTCCATTGGAATCTCACGTGAGGCATTATCTAGAGGGACAGCCACATTTTGAATGTTTAAACCCGGAGTAGGCATAAACCTAAATGCCTCAGAGGTAGAGGCATGATTAGGTGCAGATGACAATGTAGTCTGCAATGGTGGTATAGCCTGCGGCACAAGCGCAGTCTGCAAAATAGGTGTAGTCCGTAGGACCGGTGCAGCCCGCACTGGAAATAGATTCGGAGCAGGTGATGGAGTCGAAGCAACCGAGGGAGTCGGAGCCAACGATGGAGTCGGAGCCGACGATGGAGTCCGAGTTGGTGGAGTCGGTGTTGTAGTAGCTTGTGATGATTGAACAAATATAGACTTCTTTTGAAACATGCTATTTCGATTATTAATAAGCTTTCCAGGTGCTAAGCACTTAGATTTTCCTTTTTTTGGATTTTCCTTTCCTCTCTCACCTCCACTTCTTTTAGTCATCTGTTGTCATAAAATACAAAAAAAAATTAGACAAAAATTAGACAAAGTCATTACTGATAGCAACTATGACCTGTCATTATCATTTTGTTTAATATCCACAAAACAAAACTTCATCATGGTGCGGTATGTACAGACTTTGGTATCAGTCATTATCATTTTGTTTAATATTGTAACAGACTTTGTCAAAAAAAAAAACTCCAATGGACAGCACAGACTTTGTTTAATCTCAAAATATGTGATATAATGGGCATTACTGATGTTTGGATAACACTCTATAGATAGGTTCTAGTATCATTATCCATAGGGTTTTACACCAGTGCCAAATCAACAAACTGAAACTGAAACAATAAAACTTCTAAAGAAAGAAAAATCAATTGTAAAGGCGCGGTATTATTCATGCTACAGGTTGCTAACATGATCATTCACATCACTTGTAGAAGGAAGAGAACAAATGACTTCCTTGTGATTTTGACACTGTATTGCAGCAAGTATCACAAACAATATTCGGAGAAAATCGACTCTCAAAGCAACATACATGATACCACCGATATTAATCGTAACAATGCAAAGCTGCAACGTTTCGCCAAAACACAATTGCGATAAACAGGTCTCAGAGAAAATAGCTAAAAGTTGAACGCAATACCAAATAACACTTGAAATTATCACCGTTAAGCATCGATGTCGTAACATTCATTAACATGATGGAACAGAACTTGAAATCCAAAAGCAGGGCAGCATACAAAGTGCAAATCAATCATAACAGACAACAGTAACATAACTATACGAATAACGCTAAGACTTATGAATCTCGACCGTATGCTAATCATCTCTATGCTAACAAATTCCACACAAAGCTACAAGCAAGCTGCACAAATTTCAGCATACTAAGACTTCATATAGCTTGCAAGTTATTTACGAAGAGGTGGTCATAAACTTATAACATGAATAAAAACAATGTGAACTGCACGCTCACGACACACTCCAAACCAAAACATGCAGATTTCATAACTTCAATACACATAAGAATCACCAACAACTTAAATATACCACAAATTTTAACTCTGAATCTCTTATCACGACCAAACGTAGCTAACAATCAAAGCATGCGAACAAGGATGAAAAGTTGGAAATCTCATAACAGTCAAAACTGTGATTACAAAGATAAATTTAGAGCAGTAACACTTAGGAAAAAGAGAAATGATAATATCATATTCATCAAGATATTGGAATACAAAATACACATAATAAACCATAACATAGTTGTGCATCTTCAATCAATATCCTATCGTTGCTTCACTACGTATCAAAAATCTCTCCAAACAAATCTACTTGTGTGTCGTCACGCAAACAATATATTGATTCAATTGATTGATGATCATATTTGTATCATATAATATAGAACTTGATGGTGACCCTTTTAACCATTCAAGTCAAACATGAGAAAGCTTCAAAGCCTTCATACATGCAATCACCTGCTCCTTTCTTCTATCCTATACGTATTCATGTTCCCACCCACTTTGTTGCTACACACCATTGAAGACTAATTCACCTATATAACAACAAACCATGTCAAAAATTTGCATTGATCACACATACTTCTTCTTGAGCCAAATTTTCTGATACAAAAACATGATGACAGATTATCAGAAAATTCACCCTGCTAATGATTTGGAGTCACAAACCAAACCAAAAATTCCTTTGTATCCTCGAAACATTTCAAATTCCGATAGACGGGACCCTTTGCAATATGATTATTTCAATCCACCTATTCCGAAACGTAAGTTTCAAGTGAGGCACTCCCCTCCACCAAAGAAGAAAAGAAGTTGTTGCTGCAGGTTCCTGTGTTGCACTTTCACCATATTGCTGATTCTTATTATCGCAATATCCATCACCATTGGAACACTATACCTTGCTTTTAGGCCAAAGCTTCCTAAATACTCAGTAGACAGATTGAGAATAACTCAGTTCAACCTTTCTGATAATAACAATCTTTTTGTTACCTTCGATGTAATAGTAATTGCTAGAAACCCAAATAAGAAGATTGGAATATATTATGTAAGTGGAAGCAATATAAGTGCTTGGTGTAAAGAAACAGAACTATGTGAAGGGTCTTTGCCGAATTTCTATCAGGGTCATCGGAATATAACTGTGCTTAATCTGCCTTTAACGGGTCGAACGCAGGATGCAACTGGTTTAGTAAATACTTTGCAGCAGCAGCTACAAGAGTATACTACTTAATATTAAGGTGAATCAGAACGTGAGGGTTAAGATTGGTAAGTTGAAGCTGTTTTGAGTAAAGTTTCATGTTAGGTGTGAGATTGTGGTGGATAGCCTTGGTGCTGATAATGATATTAGCATTTCAGGCAGTAGTTGTAAGTTCAAGCTCAGGCTATGAATTCATTAATACTATGTTAATTAGTAGAGTATGTGTCATAGTTGTAATATTAACACTTGTTTTGTTCTTTTATGGTTTCCTTATGATGATTTTGATTTTGAGTAATAAAGGGATGGAGGATTAGGTGTTCCATTCCATCAGCTCTTTGAAACATATACAGTTCTTGTACTTTGATTCTACTAGGCCATTATGACCTAATACAACTCACTCTTTTAATCACAGGGATATGGTATCCTAACAGTTCAAGCGCGTTTCTAACAATTAAGACTGATACCCTGCAAAGATATAACACCAATTCATATGAACCAATGCAAGCCTGCTGCTGGAAGCCAATCTGCTATACTCTATACAGGATTATACCTTGTTGCATTAGGAACAAGTGGTATTAAAGCGGCGTTACCAGCCTTAGGAGCTGATCAATTTGATGATAAAGATCCAAAGGAAGCATCTCAATTGTCGAGTTTTTTAACTGGTTCTTGTTTAGTCTTACAACAGGAGCAATAATTGGTGTTACTGTCATTGTTTGGATTAGTACTAATCAAGGATGGTATTGGAGTTTTACTGTCTGCACTATTGCAGTCTTGTTCTCAATTCTGTTTATTTGCATGGGAAAGTCATTATATAGAAATAATACTCCTAAGGGAAGTCCTCTAATAAGAATGATACAGGTTAATAAAGTTACTATTATTGTATTTTATTTTTTCTATATGATTCAAAATGTTATTGTTTAATTGGACTTCTCTCCCAATCATCCCTCTATTATTCATGTTTGTCCTAATCCCTCTATACAACCAATTCTTCGTCCCATTTATCCGAAGATTCACAGGGATACCAACTGGAATTCGAAACCTTCAAAGAATCGGAATCAGACTAGTTCTCTCAGCAATATCAATGTTAATAGTCGGTTTCATCGAAACACGCCGAAAATCCGTAGTAGTAGAACACAACATGGTAGACAGCAATGAGCCTTTACCAATGACAGTGTTTTGGTTGGGTTTTCAATACGCTATTTTCGGTGCTGCAGATATGTTTACACTTATTGGACTTTTAGAGTTGTTCTACGCAAAAAGTTCAGCTGGAATGAAATCACTGAGTACAGCTATTTCTTGGTGTTTTGTTGCGTTTGGTTATTTTACAAGCACTGTGGTTGTTGAGGTTATGAACAGAGTGAGTGGAGGGTGGTTGGAAAGTAATAACTTGAATAGAGATAAGCTTAACTACTTTTATTGGTTGTTGTCTGTTATAAGTGTTGTGAACTTTGAATTAGCTAGCACCTAACAAGAGTTTTTTACACACTAACATTTTCCCCTTCACAATAGAATGTTAATTACCATACTAACAGAACCGAGTTCAACCACATAAAACAAGTGAGCAACAATGGAATCCCTAACGTTCAACCACATTTAACAGAACAGTGCATATAAAATCTTAAATAAAAATTAGAGTGTGAATCATTAAACCTAACAGCAACACAGACAAAAGCAGGGGATGAGTTGAATGCAAAACATCATAATCATTAAACCTAAATCTCAGTTAGGGTTGGAATTAGAGTGGCAAATAAAAAAATCTAACCTTAAAATGGCAAATAACACAAACAAATTGATTCTATCTCTGCGTCTTTTCTCTGCTTGACTATGACTCTTGGAAGTACTTGCAGCTCTATCTTCTAAACTTCCTTCAACAGGTAAAGGCCAAGACTGAAACTCACTACATTGAAAAAAGAAGAAGAAGAAGCAGAGGTAGTTTGAGGTTGAAAAAAAGCAGAAGAAGAACCAAAGATAGTTTGAGGTTGAAAAAAAGCAGAAGAAGAATCAGACACCAATAAACCTACTCAGAAGAATCGATGATCTTGAAGATGAAAACAAAGAGATGAAACTCACTACGTTGATTTTAGGGTTTTTTTTCTTCTGAAAATGTATTTGGTTTAATTTTAGGGTTCTCTGAAAGGGAATTAAGAGGGAAACATGAAAAACAAGGTGGGAAATATTTAACCTAGGCTCATCCGTGTCTATCATATAAAAAAAAGTTAGCCTCGGTTGAACCGTGTCTATCAGATAAAATAAATATATTCGAAAAATATTAAAAACGTTAGCCTCGGCTCGTCCGTGTCTAATATTTAAAAAAATAGAAAAACTTTAAAATGGGGTTTATTGCGTTTAAATAGCCTCGGATTTGTCAAGGCTAGTTAGCCTCGGTGTCCGTGGCCGAGGCTAAGTTCACAGCTTAAAATAGGTAGCCTCGGATTGACCGTGTCTAATATTTAAAAAAAATATAGCCTCGGCCTAGCCGTGTCTAATGAATTAAATAAAAATAATTGTAAAAGAAAAATTTTAGAATGACTTTTTTTTGCGTTTGCATAGCCTCGGTTTTGTCGAGGCTAGTTAGCCTCGGCGTCGGTGGCCGAGGCTAAATTCGTAGATAAAATGAAGTTTTCTAGTAGTGCTTATTTTTCAATAAACCTAACAACAACATACAACCATTCAAATTGATGAAGAAGTATATAATCTGAAAATTAAAATATCTTAAAAGCTAACTTAAACAAGCCACTGTTTTCCGAATTGCATCTGTCTAATCGTTCATCTCACGTTGTTTAACATATAGAATGTGGTTCAATGGTTTAAGTACTTCATCTTATAAATTCCTTAATTCTAGTTTAATTTGAATAATATTAATAAAATTGTTGTAATTCAAATTAAACTATAAGAGAAGATATGAATGTGTTGAAGGAATTAGATCATTGACCCACATTCTATATGTTAAACAGACTGAGATAAACAATGAGACGAATGCAGTTCAGAAAATATTGATTGATATAATATGGCTTTTAAATACAACTTAATTTTCAGATTATAAGCTTCTATGTCAATTTAAATGAAATGTATTTTCAGTGAAGGATTAGTGAAGCAAACAATCTACATAGCATATAATAAACTCAACTTCATATAACAACATACAACAACACAAGATAGTATGTAATGTTTTGAGAATTTAAAGAACAAAACATTGATAAGTCACAATAAGCTTCTTTCTTGTGGCTTAGCAAAGTTTGTTATTTAAATTCATAAAACATTAATCAACAACAACAACATTTATCAATAACATAAAATAAAATAAGGTTCAAGAATAACAATAGCAATATACAATAACAACAACATAAGATATTATGTAATATTTAAAGAACACACGTTTTTTTAAACTAATCGTAGATCTGAAACAAATTATGATTTTCATCTAGTTTAGGAAGCTATGAAGAAGAAGTACAAGGTGAATGAAGTTAAGACAATAGCTTCATACTTCTTGTATTTTTCTTCATAGCTACATAAGTCATATGTATCATAGTCAAACTTTGTTAAGGTGGTGAAGACGAATTCGAAAAAATGAGAACATTCACCAAATAAAAAAATGAGAACCTATTTTTAACAAGAAATGTAAATGAAACTGAAGCGTAAGTTTAATGAACGAACCTGAAATATGATTAAAGAGTATCATAGCGATTGGTGAAGACGAATATGAAGGTTTAAGAAAGTTTAAAGAGTGAAATGGATGTTAGGGTTATGTCATGAGAGAGAAGAGTGAAATATGTTAGGATTTTCATTTGAGAGAAACAATTGTTATGTACTGAACGATAGATACTTTCACTTATATAGTAAAAAATATTGCATTTCATCACGGTTAGAAAGAAAAACCGTGATATTTATTTATCACGATTTTATCACGGTTGGAAAGAAAAAATATTGCATTTCATCACGGGTAGAAAGAAAAAATATTGCATTTCATCACGATTTTACAACGGTTCTTTATTAAAATCTAGGTTAAATCTCTTAGAATTTTTTTTATTTTTTTATAAACCCAATTTTTAGAGAGGTATTAATTATTATTATTGTTATTTTTTATTACGGTTGCGATTGTTGTTTTTATTTTTGTTGGTTTGTACTATTTTTTGTGTAAACAATAATAGTGTATAAATGAAAGAGTATATGTAGCAATAATAAATATTTTCATTAAGATGGACAAGAGGGAGGAGTATATAAATTATTTCATTACATAATTTTGTCAATTTCGAAACAATAACCCCTAGCAGCAAAGGAATCTTCATAATCTATGACTTTTTCGTCACTATCCTTATCAGAAACTTAGTAATAAATCTTTTTGGGCACCTTTTTCTTCTTTTTCTTCTTCTTGGGCTTCCTAACCCTAAGTATATACCTGATAGTTGTCGATCCAGATGGCTAGACCTCCTCAATTGACCGATGATCATTGTGTTGTACTGTAGTGACTTTAGTTGAGATATTTTTGTTAGTATTTTCACATGGAGAACTCATGTTGCTATATGTAGTTAAGAAGAATAGTTTTGAAGTAGTGGAAATTCATTATATGAAATTGTGCATTTATAGACGAGGTTGAAGATGAAAGATTTGATTATTTAATATTTGAAATGATTACTTCCAATGGTTGATATTCTTGGATAACATTGTGATCGTCTTGAAAACTGAAAAAAAAATTCAATCATCATTATAGTTGGGATAAGTGTTTCTCTCTTTATAGAAGTGAAAAGGTTGTACAGATGATATTAAACGGTTGCATATTAAATCTCTCATTAAATAATCTTCAATTTTTTATTTATTTATGAATTTAAGTGACATATAATTTTTGTAATAGGAAAAATAGAAAAATGTAGATGCCATGATTCGAACCATGTACCACACTCACTTTATCACTACGGTTTTATCTATCAATTGTTATAAAATGACTTTTAAAAAAATAAATTAGCATTAGGCACATCCAGTTTCATATATTACAACGGTGGAAGGAATGATTGTGGTAATGTTATGTTATTGAATGTTTATTTTACTACTAAAAAATTTATTTTTAGTGACCGAATTAGTGACTGAAAATTTTTGGTCACTCTAGTGACCGAGTTAGCCACCCAAATAAAATATCATGTTAGCAAATTTTAAAAGTCACTAAATCGGTCACAAAATAAATTAGCAACTGATATTTTGTGACCAAAACTTTCAGTCTCAAATAATCATTTTTATATAAATTAATTCAGTGACCGAAATTTTAGTTACTAATATTTTTTTAAATTTTTTTTTTCATTATTAAGTTACTCCCCTTTCAATTTTCTCCTTTTTTTTATTTTAGTCAAAAATTTACATTTTTTTATTGTTTGAATAAATAAAACATATATTTATATAAATAATTAACTCATACAAATTTATTAATTTAAATAAAATATAACTTTAATGACAATTAGTGTAATAATATTTTTAAATAATATTTGAAATTTTTATTTCATTAATAATACATATATCTTAAAAATAAATTAAACAAGTAAAACCAAATGGGCTAGTGGACACAAATAAATCTTGCAAAGGAAAGAACATTGGTTAAATTCTTGTTGGAGACAAAAAATTTGTCTTATTTTAAATTCTTTAAACAAACTGAAAATGGTCACCAAAATTGGTCGCTAAAGGGTAGCGACCAACACTTTTCCAACTAAA